CAGCCTCCCGGCTCCTGCGCCGGATGCTCTTCTTGCTCGCAGGCTTTTTGCTCTGGCTGTGAAACACCATATACCGTTTATAAACAGTTACTGACACAACGTATTTTCCTGTCTTTGCCTTCAATTCTTTATGAGAAAGGTCCAAGAACATGCCAGAGGAACTTCCCCTGTGTTGTTAATGTCCTCTTTGAACTTCCACTGATGCTGCAGGAACATGCCTCATTGTGTCCACCTCCCCTTGGATCATTCTTGAATCATCATAAATCTTTCCTTACCCTGTTGTTCTTGTAAGTAAAATTGCCTTGGCAGGGTTTTCTGCAGGAATTACTCCACTCAATTCCAGCTAAAGCCAAAGCAGGAGCCACACAGGTCACATGCATTTTCCGGTTCCAGAGAAAATGATGCTGCCCCAGCGGGACTCACGCTAGACAAAAGGAGGAACCCATCCCACAAAAGCCAGAACCCACTACAATGACTTTAGACTTGGCCAATGTAAATTAAACTCGGTTCCCATCTCTGGGTATCTTCCTTGCACAATGTTTTACTGCCATTGTCTATTTTTATGGCATTGATGAGGATGAGCCTGGTTGTCCAGTAATTCAGGAGCGCTCGCTTTCTGGCAGCTCATCTGCAGAAGGTGCGCAGTCACGGCAAGGGAAGAAGCAGCCGGGCGGGCAGAGAGGCTGAGGGGCAGCTGCCAGCGCAGGAGAGCATCTCCAAACGCTGAAGGTCACCTGGGCAGGGTGGGAACTGCCTCTCCCGTGTGGTGGGAGACCCGGCGGGAGTCAGAGGGGTGCTCGTGGGTGCACAGCCCTGGGGGGAGCAGGCTGTGCCCCTGCCAGTTTCACTTCTGCTGAGACCCGACACGGTAGGGCAGAGCAGTAGAAAAAAATATTCCCACCTTTATTTTTGCAACTGCAAATAGATTCTGGTATTGTTTTAAAAAAACGGAAGCAAGGTAGCTGAGACCCAGAGGCTGCCACTGTGAAGGGCAGAATGTGGCCGAGTTGAAAGCTGTTTGTGGAGACAGGTACCCTGTGCCTGTGGGTACCTGGGCTCGGAGAGGGGGTCCTGCAGGGCAGGACGGGTACCAAGGGCTGCTTTGCAGGTAGTGGAAAAAGCTATACGTGGTGGGAGGGAGAGAAGACCCGAAGCAGCTCTGCTGGGAGCTCGCTAATCACCAAGAGCCCTTTCGTAACTCAAGTGGTTTCCAAGGTCACCGTCCCTCTGGGCGCTGCAGGGAGCTGGAATGGCAACGTGTCCCCTTTGCCATGCCCCAGCCCACACCCACAGACGGAGGGGATGCTCTCTCCCAGGGGCTGTATCTGTGGGGAAGGGGCACGAGTGCCCCACGTGTGGCAGCTCCGAACTGCTGCCGAGGGTGCTGTGGGGCTGGTGGGGTTGGGCAACCCACCCGCAGGCTGCGACCGCAGGGCTCGCCGGGGGCAAG